ATCAGCTGAATTTCCAGGTATTGGTATCTCTTTCTATTGAGAGGAGGTTCTTCCTGCTGTGCTTTCCTTAATTTCCTGCAGTAAGCCAGAACAATTTCTAAGTTTTTTACTCCCCTTGTAATATTGGACACAGAGAAAATCTACACCATTAAGTCTACAGTGTTGGGGTGCTGGAAAAAAAACAAAACAAAACACAACATCAACAACCAAAAAAATCCCCAAACACAAACCCAAAAAAACCCAAATAAACCAAAAAAAACCTACACACCACCCCCCAAAAAATTGATGTGAATGTGAAGTTTGAGCTGCATAAAACTTTACCCTGCATAAAACTTTACCCTGCTTTTACTGAAATTTCTTTAATGTGATTAGTACATTTGTTTCTATGAGGCTATTATTAAAACAATAAAATATACCCACAATTCATTTAACACATGTCAAACTCACCAGCTATTTTAGTCCTATCATTGCATAGCTGGAGATTTCAATTTTAAGATTCTCACTGACTGTAGGAGACAAAAGTTTGAGAAAATTAAACCCAGAGAATATGAAATAAAATGCTATAAGGCTTCAGAAAAGAACAATTAGACTTACAGTTGAAGAACAATGATCTTTTTTGCTTTTAGTGACATCAGAGAACAAAAACAATGCATTCCTCAGATGAAGTTCATATAAAATGATCTGGTCAATCATTAGTCCCTACATGAAAATTAAAGTCTGTCTATGCAAAAAAATAGATTTTGTCATCAGGGTTGGCCTAATTTTTTTTTAAGAATAACAGCTTTCTGCTGGTTAACTTTTATGGTAGTGTTCCTTGGGTTTTTAATAAAAAGGTTTGGAGAAGAAACGTAAAAACCAAACAGAAACTAACAGAGAGATTGTGGAATCAAATCCCCACACAGCTCCTTTTTTTTTCCAGCCCAAAGAACTCATACAAACTACAGGCACCATCACACCCAGCCCATCCTGCTGGGACTCAAATTCAGCAATTCCAGGTGGTCAGAGCCACACGAGCACTTCTTGGTGTTGGAGAAGACTCCTTCCCCCAGCGAATGAACAGCTGGCTGAGAATGCCAAGCAAAAACAGGCATTTACAGCACTGCTCTGCCAGCCACATCCCATCAGCTTCCACCTCAGCCAGGAGGGCAGTTTGGATCATGCTGCTTTAATTGCACTAAAAAAGGGCACTGGGAGAATTCTGGGAAAGTGTTCTTAAGTGTTTCTCTCTCTTTTGTATGCAGGGATAAGGCTGAAAGCAAATAAATTTATGTAACCTCCTTTTTCCCCTGCAAGGTGTCAAGGTTCAGAGAGAAGTGCCCTGTTGTTATATGTCAAAGCTAAATTTAAGTCAGAATTTTAAACTGCTTTGGGGTAGGTCTCTCAGTGAATTTCTTCATCTTTGAAAAGACATCATGCTTGGCAGGTGGGAAACTCCTGTTACTGTGTTGCTTGTTCTGTGTTATATATACACACACACACACACAGATAGCCTAAATAAAAATCTGTTGTTCCTTTTTTTTTTTTTTATTTTTTCCTGGAAGGCCCGTAATTTTCAGACTTATAATAGTTTGGAGGGAGAAGTTCCCCCTTTCTCAGCTGACATTTTGTTGTTTAAACCAAGGCATAAACTTTTCAAACACATCTCAGATATATCAGAACACCAGCTTCCAACACTTGTTTGCCTTTCACAGTAGTTTGGTGATTTTTGGGAGGTTTCACAATCACTTTTTCATGCTATTCCTGACACCTTACAGATTTTATTCTTCATTTTGGATTAGTTGTACTTGACCTGGTCTTTGTCACATTGTGTACTGCACCAATGCCTCCCTGACTTTCTCACGCACAAAACATCTCCCAAGGTTCATTAAATTCCCATCCAGAGCCAGTTGCCACAAAAGCCTTCTGGAAATAAAAGCATCTACACAGCTGCTCCTGCATCACAATTTGATTGGCTACTGCAGCTTTAATTCTCCTAAATAAGCTTGGTTTTATCCCCTAGGGTCAGAATGCAAGAAGCCATCACCACAGCACAACCAGTGGTGAGTTAAAATAGGTACCAAAAGCTGGAGTGACAGGAGCTGGAAGCTATGATCCTTATGGGTCCCTTCCATCTTGGGATAATTTATGATTCTCTACTTTTTAGGACCTTTTCCAGTGGCAATTCTAATTAGATTTAGGGAAAAAAAACCCCAAACATTTCAAGGCTCAGCTAGGAAGATGTCTAAATTTGACCATCTCTAGCTGAAGGGACAGTGATAACTGTCACCCACTGCACTAAAACACCCCTATTGCAGTTAATCATTGTGTGTCTATTAGGCCAGCTGTCTCCATAACAACATAATTAAAAGTACATTTTAAAGTCTTTATTATGCTCGTGTTCATGAACAAGATTAATTTTTAGAAAGATGCAAGAATTGACTTCTATTACAGTCTGGATTGATGAGCATTTTTGAGCAGGAGAGGAAACTGACTCTAGTTGAATTAATAATATATGTTATTAATATATTAAAAGATCTAAAACAGCTTTAAAAATTGATTTTGCAGTGCTTTTCTTTGTCATTACAGACAACTTTGTAATTCGAATTCTTTCAAGCCAGCTATACATTTAGTTGCCAGGAGGAAACAGGAGTTTTGGCAAAAGAACAACACCATTTAACTTACCAGCACCCAAAAATTAGGTGGGTGAGGTACACAATAGAAAATAAAAAAATATTGAAAAGTTCTCAGTTTTTCATACTAAAAAATTATTTCATCCTTACAACGAATGATACATTCATAAAGAGAGTCCTGCAGTAAACTATACCAAAATCTGATGCAATAAACAATTGAAACCATAAAACAAAGGCTGTTCTGAACAATTTCTCACTGTGCTGTTGTTTCTAAGCAGAAGAGAGACTCCAGCTTCAGGCAGAGAACTGTAACAAACAAAACCCACAATTCATCTGCAGAGATCAGAATTTTGGGGTCACTTTAACTGCACTTGAATGCATCAGTAATCATTTTTTTATTGAAGCTTTCAGTCCACTTACAAAGCTAAAAAACTTGAGAAACCAAGATATCTGCTGACATACAGGAGAGCAGAATTTAGAGTTTCTCAACCACGCTCCTGATTTCAACACTAGTTTTACTTGTGGAAAAGTGGAAAACATCACTTTGTTGGTAGAAGAGCAACTCATGGACATTACTCAAGAACATACCTGCATCAAAGCATTCCTTCATAAAGGCAAAAAGCATTTTACAAAGCTTTTATTCTAAGATGTTTAATCCTGAGCCTTCTCACCTGCAGTCTGAAATACAATAAACCAGCTCCCAAATCCAAATTGCTTGTGGACCATCTGATTTTGTTTCCCCTCACTTAATGGCTGAGCAGCCTAGTGTTCCTAAATATAGTTAAGCAGCACATTTTTGAAGGCTCATCTGTGAATTAAAGGAAATAGATGCAAGTGTTTTATCTTTACATATGCACACAGACTGTCAGAAAATAGATAATTCTGTTTCTACCCAAAAAAATTGAATTATGGTGTATTCTGCTGAAATACCATTTATTCAGTGTACCCATCTCAAAATGGAGATGAGTGAACACTGGTAAGATATTAAGTGAAGTTTAATAATGACCTCATTGAAGCAATATTTAGAAGTCTGAAACACTGCTGAAGTAACCTGTTTAAGTAAACTCATCTTTGTCCTTTTTTCTACTTCTGTGCAAAAGAACTTCAAGTCAGTTCTGAAGAGCTGCCACACGGTGGAGGTAAAAGCCCATCATTTTAAAATGAGAGGCACACACGGGTGGTGGTGTGGTTTTTATTTAATTTGATATTTGTTTAGTGCCTGTTCATACCCCCATCCCCCAATCTCCTCCTCTCCCCAGTTGTCAATCTTCCCTAGCTCATCCTTAACCCCCTCCTCTCCAAGTTGTCAATCCTCCCTTTCCCTGGAACATTCCCTGTCATTCCTCCTAGCTCCCTCCCCTGCTTCCAGAGCATTCCCTGTCTATTTAGTGAGCCTCAACACCCTATTGTTCATTTCTAATTATTTTATTGAATTTTAATAGTTTTATTCCAATTGTTTCTTTATTGCATTACACAATTTTAATTCCAACTAATTTAATTATAATTGTTTTATTTAAATTAAATTATTTTATTTTGTTTTATTTCAATTAGTGCAATGATGTGCCTTTCATGTCCCTTAAGTAATTTGCCATGTTATCATATGATCCTGTTGTATTTTGTTAATGAAGTTTATATTATTTATATGCTATTTTGATTTGCTTAAATATCAGAACTCTCCTTCTTTTATGTAAGTGATTGGTAACGTTACTATATAATTTTGTTGTATTTAGTGTATGAAGTTTACATTATTTGCATGCTGTATTAATTTGCTTAAAGCGCAGATTTCTCCTTCCTTTTGTAAAAAGAAAGGGGGAGATGTGGTGGTGCGTTTTTTATTTAATTTGATATTTGTTTAGTGCCTGTTCATACCCCCCCCCAAATCTCCTCCTCTCCCCAGTTGTCAATCTTCCCTAGCTCATCCCTAACCCCCTGCTCTCCAAGATGTCAATCCTCCCTTTCCCTGGAACATTCCTTGTCATTCCTCCTAGTCCCCTTCCCTGCTTCCAGAGCATTCCCTGTCTATTTAGTGAGTTAACACCCTATTGCTTACTTTGTGTTATTCCACTCCCTTGCTTCCCCTGATAGGTTTGTGATATGTTAGTCCTGCCCTAAACTCCTGCCCTGCTATTCCCTTATTGTTTGCTGTTCCTATACCCCTCTTCCTGAGCTCTTGTATAAAACCTTTGTTCCCCTTCCCAACTGAGGACAGCTGGAAGGGGAAAAGAAAGGGGAAAAAGAAATAAACAGCAAGATTTTATCCCAAAACTAGCTTAACCAGTAGGGAAATTACTGTTGAAACAATTGAGCAAACCCTTTTTCAAATTAAAACCTGTGCAGATCTATATGCTAAGAGAATTGGATCCCTGAGGAACATACTTGTGAAATAAAAAATACAAATTCCTATGTTTTATTTTAAACTGAAGCCATAATACTACAAAAAGTGTCATGTGCAGTCTTACAAGAAACTCATGTAAGTAAAATCAGAACTCCCTTTCCTGAGTATGCTCCCAGCACCAGCTGAAGTCCTTAACTTTGATTGTAATGTAAATCACATCCAGCTACAGGCAGAAGAGAATCCTTCCTTCCTGCAAAGCAGCAGGTACACTGTTAACAAACTAAAAACTGGATTTTTAAATGCAATTCTACCTGACACCAATATCTATCCTGGAAAAGGTTGGCTCAAAGACCTTCTAGGCACTCCAGAGATTTTTCATTGGTGTATTTGTCAACACATGGACCCTGCACATTCATGTAATTAAGAACAATCCCCATTAAATTAAAAAAAAATAAAACAACAACAAAAAAAAAATCAAACAAACAAAATAAAACTGGCCTTTTTTGGGGAACAAAGGGCCCAATCTGTGACCAAACTCTCCTTTTAGGGAATTTTTCTGCCTCCTTGGGGCTCAGGATAAGACATTACCAGGAAACTTCCACAGCTTCACAGGGATTTGGGATTATTACTGGCTGTCATTTTTCTGTGTGTACCAACAAAAGCCCAAGGGTGTGGGGAGATTTCAAAGGCTTTTTTGGGGAGGTGCTGCTCTGTTCCTGTCGAGAATGGCAGCAACAGAACCAAGTGGAAGCAGTTTGGCAATCTGGCTCTGAGAATGGAACATTTTGTGGGTTTTTGGGGGGATTTCTACCACACCAGGCCTGGTTGTGCCCAGCAGGATTCACCTTTATCAGTGGCGGGAAATAACTTTTTTCTCACAAGTTGGCAGGATCATTCAAAAGAGCACCAATGTATTATTATTCCATAGGTTATTAAGGAAAACCTCTGGATCCTTACCTTCATAGGTGACTTTAACTTCCAGCTGGGACTATCATAGAACAGACTCAAAGCAGCTCCAGGAGATTCAGGTACAATTCAGCTGGCAGCCAACCCCTGGCTGTGCTCCCCAGGCTCAGTGTTGGCCCAATGATAACAAATAAGAAGGAACAATTAATTCCCCTGGGGGAAGAGAGATCATTACAGAGAGATCTTGATGGATTAGTGCACTCAAGAAATTACCAACCAAGTGAAATCTAGTAAGGACAAATGCTGAATTCTGCACTTAAAATGCTGCAATTCTGGACGTATGTCCAAAATGGGGGACAAGTTCCTCACCAAGAAGAACTGGAACACACTTGGAAGGGGAAGTTACATTGAGTTTGGCTAGAAGAGTTTATATTTTTCTCACAGTAGCTGGTAGAGTGTTGCTTTGCAGATTTGAGACCAAACCAGTGTTGACAAGAGAGCAATGTTTTACTGTTGCTGAGTGGCACTTGCACAGCATCAAGGCCTTCTGTTTCTCACTCTGCACCTGCAAGGGGGTGGGTGGCTTTGTTTAGATGGTGAAGGAACAGAAGCTGGCAAGATCATCATTATCTTTCCATCAGGTGTCCTGTCCTGCTGTATGAGGAATCAGAGAGGATTCTTTTTGATATTCCTCAAAAATAAAGCACAAACAGGGCAGTGTTATATCTGAGAACCTGAGAAATCTCTTATCTGAGAATTTATCGTTGATAAAGGTCTCTGCAGAAGAGGGAATAGGAAAGAGAGAAGGGAAAATCATAGAAGCTTTCTCTGCCCTATCTGGCTGTCAGATGAAACCTCCCTGTGACAGAGCTCCCCTCTATTTTCTGCCTCCTTAACACATGGCACATGTTTGGGCTTTCAGCACAACCCCTACAGTAATTTTTCACCCCGTGGCCAAAAATGGATTCAGAACACGCTGAGGCACAAATAAAACTCAAATTGGTCCCTCTCATCAGGGCCTGATTTGCAATACAAACACCATTTGTCCTGCCACAGTCCTGGCTGAGTAGTCCAAGCTCACCCTTCTCCCAGGGCTGTACAAGCCAAACCCTGTTACCACAGGGCTGCTGCTGAAATATGAATTTTTGAATGGTTCATCTTCTGTTGTGCAGCACAAACATCCAGAAGTGACAGCTGACAGACGATTTCCATTGCAGTGCTTGATACAGCCATGGAAAAAGCAGAGTTACCTTTAAAATCTGTCAGCACAGCCAACCAAGGAGAATGCCTCTCGAGGTTCACCACTCTGTGGCTCATGAGAGATTTCACTATTTCCAGCCATCTACCTAAGGCACTGAGAAGAGGGGGATTAATATCCCTTTTTTTGTCCTTCAAAAAGAGAAGTACAACCCTGCTGGGTTCTAGGAAGGCTCAGTGGGGACATGGGAGCAGAGGTCTCAGTGAATTGAGAGGTGCCTGTGCAGCAGCAGATCTCTGAGCAACACCCTCTGCTGTGCTCTCAAAAGAGTGTGATGGGTCAACACTGCAGTTTGATTCCTGTAGGCACAGCCCCCCTTCAAAGCATTTACCTCTTACTTGCATCCCTTGGATTCCTTCAGCTCACAGCTTCCCATCTTACTGGTCTGAGGTTCACAGAAACTGCTCCAAAGGCTGTTTGCCCCCATGGCAGAAGTCCCAATGGCTGCAGCAGTAAAATTGTTTTCTTCAAACGTTGGCACACTTGCCAAGCTTGGGATGATGCCTCTCATGCCTGGGGCTATATTGGTTTGTTTTCCAAAAGCATGCACTCATTGCTGCCTGTTTACTATTGTTACAGAGCTTTGTTTGAACAATGCAGTGTGAGCATTAGCTGGGCCATCACTTCAGGCAGATGGCCATGTGCAAATCTGGTTTACAGACCCCACTTCAGTACAGGCTCTGGGAGGGAGATAATTGACATTTTCAGCAGCTGAAGTACTCGTGTCTGGGCTGATCTCTCAGTGGGAAGGGCTGAATCAGCAGCAGCACGAGCAGTCACATCTCTGTGTTACTACTGTGGCAGGGGCAAACTGCAGTGATTCTGGCCATTTGCAAAGGCTTGAACTGAAATTCAGAGCCTAACTTTTCCACAATCACAACTTTTTCATGAGGCTGTGATAGAGAGGGAAAAACAAATCCATTAAAACTTACCTTGGTACCTCCACAGGCTAGTGTTTACAATAATACACTGCTCAGCTCTCCCATAACCTTCCCATTTACTACAAATTACAGATTTCCAAGTGAAATGGGATAAACACAGCTTTACCTGCAGGGGAAGAGCTTGTGCACCTTCCCTTCCTGCCCCAGCCACCACCACCCTCTCCCTTTGCTGCCTTTGGAGATGACTGCCCTCTAGCAAGCACCAACAGCTGAATGTGGTGCAATGAACCCTGGTGGGGCTGTCACCTGGCTGGGCAGCACCCAGTGCCACAGGCTGGGAACATGCCTTAGCCAGGAGCTGCTCTTGGTACTGCTGTCTCTTGATGTGGTGCTCCTTAACCTGCATCCTCCAAACTGTGATGTGCAAGTGCTTGGTGACAGCACCACAGACACAATCAGGTTGGAAAAGACCTCTGAAGTCATCAAGTCCAACCTAAACCCATCAAGTCAGAAACCACTTTCACAATGATAGCGCTTCCTTTAGAACATTCCTTGCTTTCCCTGTTGTTCCTAGGAAAGGCCATAGAATATTCCAAGTTGGAAGGGACCCATAAGGATCATCAGAGCTTACAAGGGGTCTTGCCAAAACAGGTCCACTACCCATGCAGGGATCTCCCATCTTACTCCTGCTCCAGTCAGAAATTGATCTGATAAGCCAGATGATGGGCTCAGCAAATATCAGCCTGAAGGCTACAATCCATGCTAGTCCCACAAGTAGCAGGCTGTGGAGCAGTTCTGGAGCAGAACTTGGATCTGACTCTTTTTTAAGATGTATTCCTTCCATACAAGGCAAGTTGGCACACCAGATCCGGAGGGGCCATGTGTCCATGGCTCCCTGCCCCTCCTCAGCCAGTGCTGCAGCCTGGATCTGAGTGGGCATTTCTGACTGAAAACAGACCAGGCTCTTCCAGAGGCATCCTTTGAGCAGGATGCAAGGGTAGCACATTTGGAGCAGACCTTTCTGCACTGTTGGGACAGGCGCTGGTTAGAGGTGACCATGGGGTGTTTGGGCTCCTGCTGTCCCACTGGGGAGCTGGGTCCCCTCCTTGGGCAGGGGCAGTGCTGGCACCCAAGGGCTCAGCAGCTCCCATGGCAGCAGCTCAGGGCTACCACCACGGGCAGGATCCAAACCCAATGGCAGAGAGGTGCTGGGGTGATAACCATGGTGACCACCTACAGGTTTTGGGGATCCCACTCGGGATTTGAGTGCAAAATGACAGTTTTACAACACACCAGAGGTGGCACAGCCCTTCTCAGACCCTGACATAGGCCATGTGTCTACACTGGAGTCACAGACTTGTCACTTGCCCTCCCCTTTCCCAAGCTCTTACCAGCTCCTCAGGATATAACCAAAGCCACCACCTTGAGGACATGCCCAGTATTTTGTGACATTTCACTTAATTGTTTTGCTGTCACTAGCAACACTCATATGAAAAAAATAATAATGAAACTTAGCAATTATATAGCTCTTTATATTTTGAAATCTCTGTACAAACATTACTTAAACAAAGCAAGGTAGTATGCAAAACAGTCATTGCTTAAAATAATCGACCAAGGGGTTGTGCTTCAGCGGTGACACCAGGAGGACAAGAATGCTGGAAGGAAAGTGACAAACCAGAGGTATAATGAGGTCTCCTCTTCAAATTTGGGGTTATGAATGGATAGTGTCAAGGACAGTATCTGAAAGTGTTCTTTAATAACTTTACATCAGGTGGGTAAAGCTGATGTGTTTGCACTGTCACACAGGGAGACTGGGGAAGAGTAACTGCTTAATGCAAATAATATACAGCAATATTATACATAGGGACGTATAAATACATATTCACACACACACACATATTGGATCTTAAACTTGTTGAGGATGTCTCAGCCAAACTGCAACAATAATGATACTGGTATGATAGTGATGAAGGTATTAAAAACATAAAAACACAGCAGTGACACCAACTGTAGATCTCCCCCTCCAGAGAACAGATACTACTTAAAGTGTTCTATCTGAGGCTGGCTGCAAACATGGCTCTCAATTCCTCTTTCCCAGAATGACTGAAGAAAACAAAACACAGCTACCCACAAAACTCATTCCTGCAAACACAAATGCTGTCGGTGCAATTAATGGCCCATTCACCAACAGGTAGTGGGACAGGCCTTTGGCTGAAAGGTGCAGAAAAACACAGTACATTGACATGATCCAACAAGGAATGTGTGCCTTCCCTGGTCCCCACAGCCCTGCCAGCTTCAGGATTCCAGCCCCAGCTCAGTTCCTGCAGCCTCCCTGATGATTGGTTTGCATCATTCCCAGCTAGACTGAAACTATGGAAAAAGCAGTTTTACTGGAAGCACTATATGGGCTCAAGCACACAATGCCAGTGGATGCACTGAGGGAAAACTGCCACAGTTCATCCCCCCAGCTGTGTTTTAGGTACAAATACCAGCCTAGGGATAAACCCCCCCATCCTGCAGCTCCAGACAACAAGCCTGCCTGTCCAGAGACCCACACAGCTTCTCCCATGGGGAATCAACCCAAAATTGCTGCAAATACTCCAGTTGTTTGCATAAAGCAAGCCAAATGAACTTCAAAAACCTCAGATGTACACATAAAAACCTCTGTGCCTCTGCTAGCTCTAGCTCCAGGATAACCATGACCTCCTCTCCCAAGAGGAACACACAAAGTGAAGGTGGAAACAATTTAAGCTCAACTGAAAACAATTTGTATTAGAAAATAAATAAATCAATTGATAAAGAAGCCCAACAAAAACCACGCAGTGATTCTGAGACAGAACAGTTACATTTTATATGTTTTATTTCTGCGGGTGTTTAGGTTTCAAATACCAGGAGATTTTTTTTTTTTTTTTTTTCCCTGACTCTACACCTGAATTGCAGCTCTCCTTTCTTTTCAGTAAACTTTGGGCTAATTTTCACAGCGGACAGTTAATGATGATGAAATTGGAA